CAAAAAGTATATAGGGTACTTTCTCTTTCCTTTCTGCATGCCTTCGAGGTGTAAGGATTAGCACACTCGGTGCGTATTCTAGAGGTCCAGGTTCGACTCATGTAAATTTTTCACATCTCTTGCTTAAAATAACCTAATGGCTCTACAATGCAAGTGTCCAAATATTTAGATAAAAAGCAGGTTTTACAGGAATTATTTTTACATGTTAGGCTTAATTACAAAATGCACTCAGGCACACATTATGTTCAGTGCTCCAAGGTCATGGGCACATGGAAAGATTTTGTTCACTTGATATTGGAAGTGAAGAGGTTAATCTAAAATTGACTGCATTTCATTTTAAATTAAAGGATTTAAAAATTTTTCACTAAGGACCCTGTACTAAAGAATAAACTGAAGATGGATTTTACTACACATAAATTTAATATTTTTTTCCATCTGTGATACAAAATAGTCATCATAATATATTTACTTTAAAAGCTTGCTCATAAATATAATACAGTACAAAGTCTGAGGTCAGAAATCATCGGGACTTTGGTGATTACAAATTTTAAAAATTTCCGGAATTTTAGATCATCAGTTTAAATCTAGTAATATGACATGTAGGCAAGGCAACATGGGGGTTTTGCTTATTGTTTAGATAAGACAGAAAAAATTCTATTCCCTCACAAACAAAGGCTAAAATTGTGATTGCAGTCAACATGACTCAACATACTGTCATTGGCAATGGTACAATTCCCTAAGCAGCAAGTGTCTGAAAGTGGCATGCTCAGTTTCCCGCCAGAAAAATCACATTTACAGATAGCACAGCAGCTTACTTTTCTTGAGAATTATATTCTCCATTCCTAAATTTTGTAACAGGAAAGGTTTTTTTCAGCACCACAGGTGCTATTGGTCTCAAACCTCACTTTTTGTCTTTATCACTTTTCAAATGTTGCCATCAAATGTTATCGCCATGCATTATTTTTAAAGAAATATATACAAATATTAAAAACAAAATATGATAACACAAATAAAATGATGTTGCTACCAAATGTTATTGCAATACATTATTTTTAAAGAAATGAAATAGCAAATAAATGGGTACATTTAGCATTTTATTGGATATTCTAAAAAAATGTACATAAAATATTTTTAATTTCCATACGCCAGCTTATTGCCATTTGAAGAAGCATTAGATATTTAATTTCTCTTTTAATCTGCCTGTTAGTGATTAACACACTAACACTTAAAAGCAATAAACCACAGTCCTTGTTTACTTTATTATTACTAAAAGCTTTATGTATACGTTTCTTTTTTATAGTAATTACTTTAAGCTGCTGCTTGCACCTGTGGCTAGTTATTTGAAAAGTGAAATGGAAAATAAAAGTGTTTTCACGTCAAATTCGTAAGCTCTTTTAGGTTAAAAATTTATGGCAACACTTAATACTGCCTCGAGAATTCTAAAGAAATGCTTTTTTAAAAACTCTGAGATTTTGCTGTTGAATTTTACGTGGTGCAAATGTGAAGAAAGTGATGTTTAATACTAAAGTGAAAAAACAAAAAAAGTTGGGTTTAATCCTAATACGTGGAACATGGGATTTGGCGACATTATGATGAGTAAATGGGCGATTTTGGCGTTGGCAACAATTTAAAAAATCACAACGAGGCTGTACCATATAAAGTACAAAGTCCATAATCTGGATGTCCATTATCCGGAATGATCTATAATCCGGACCTCAAAGCCACAAACTTTTTTCTCGTATGCTTTACACCATACACATCTAATGTAAAAAAGATGATATAAGCTAGGCTAAAATTATCTTTATTGATTCTAAGGCATTTCAGTTAATGTTGCAGATTGCGCTGCTCCTTAATCTTCTAATTGGATCCGGCTTATTATTTTTGCAGACTGTTAGAGCAATTTTATAAAAATTAAGCTTGAATTTTCGATTATGTCAAAAAGAGTTTCCAATTCTGGAGCTGCCAAAGGATCTACAAAGCAAAAGCATGTTTCGATATCCATCAAACAAAAAGTGGAATTGCTGCAAAAAATGGATAAAGGCATATCTGTCTCAAAATTATGTGAGGAGTACGACATAAGCAAAAAGAAAAAGGAACTTTTTTAATTTTTTGTGGATTTTAATTTTAACCAGAGCTTAAATAACAGAACAAGGGTTCGTTATGCTAAAAGTGATGATCATGACAAAGTGATGATTGAATGAGTCAGACAGCGTCGCAGCGAGGACGTGCCATTGACGGGTCCAATGCTAATGACTCAAGCCAAAAAATATTTCATGAAGAAATGAACTTAAACGCTGAGTGCACATATTTGACAGGTTGGCTAACCAAATTTAAAAATCGCCATGGTATAAGACAATTAAAAATTTCAGGTGAGAAAGCTTAAGCTGATACTGAAGCTGCTGAACAATTTGCAGATGAATTCATTGAATCCAGAATTATCCTCAATTATCTCCAGAACAAATTTAGAACGCTGATGAAACTGGTCTTCTCTGGCAATATGTACCGCGTAATACCTTGGCAACCTCTACAGAAAAGGCTCCAACTGGTGTCAAAGATTCCAAAGCGAGACTAACAATTTTAGCATACGCAAATGCTGCAAGAACACACAAGTGCAAACTTTTCGTAATAGGAAAACATGCACGACCTCCAGCATTTAAAGGAGTAATGATTTTTCCCGTTGCATGGATGACACAAGCGTTGATGAATGATTGGTTTGAAAGTCATTTTATACCCGAGGCTCGGCGACATTTGAATTCGGTTGGTTTACCTGATGACTCAAAAATAGTCCTGATTGTTGACAACCAGAGCTTAAATTGCGGCGGAGCCTGGCTCCGGACTTCTTAGTTTTGGGGATAAATCATAATTCTAGCTGGAGCGCCACGGAGCCCTAAATCGGAAGGCTTCAGCGCTTCATTTATGTAACTGAACAACAATTTCAGTAGAAATTTGATCTCAAAAATGTTATTTTTTTGCAATAAAATTATATTACAAATTGCTTATTAAATTTTAATATATCTCTTTACCTTTTATTTAATTTTAATTATTTAATTACATTAATATTTAATTATTTAACTATTTTTATAATTAATTTTATTTAATTAAATAATAATTGATAATTAATTATTAATATTAATTAAATAATAATTAATTTTGTAATCATTAACTATTTAATTTTTAAATTATTAATGATTTTAATAGTCATTTTATTTATTTCTTTACTTTTGTTCCTCTTTGCTGACGGTCTTCCATAGGGCTCCGGCACTTAATTAAGCCCTGTTGACAACTGTTCGGTGCATACTTCACTTAACCCCTTAAGCAGTTTGCCCGTACGGTGTACGTGCTACCCGAAATTGGCCTCAACCGGTTTGCCCGTACGGCGTACGGGCATAGATATTTTCTCCTTTCCTTTTCCGGTTTGCCCGTATTTTTCAATATTGCAAAGATACTATTTAGTATTAATATTTTTCAACAGATGGCATGTCCATGTAACTGAAATGCTCTGGGATGTTTTTTTAAGTAAAAATAAGTCGGCGTGTACATGGTTTAGTGATATTTTAATTAAATGATAGTTATTTTGTGAATTTTATGTTTCTAGGAATTTGGTATACGTTTCAGTTGAAGTAAACGTGCATGGAAATAATTTAAATATTTGATACTAAGTATTTGTAATGCTTGCGGTATGAATTCGTTGGTGATGTGTATAATGTAATAGATGATTTAGAGGTAAAAGTTTTTGGATATTTTATTTATTTTATATGTGGAAATGTTCATATTTGGAAAGGGTAAATACTTTTTCGCGATCAGGTAATTTCATATATGTTCTTTTTACCGGGTTTAAAGATTGAGAAAATTGTCATGTATTTTCGTGAAATTTTTCTAATTTATGAGAAAAAAGCAGTGTACATGGATATAGTGAAGAGTGTGCGCAATGCCATTTTTTTGCAATTCTGGGGTGTTTTTTTAAGTAAAAATAAGTCGATGTGTACATGGTTTAGTGATATTTTAATTAAATGATAGTTATTTTGTGAATTTTATGTTAGTAGGAATTTGGTATACGTTTCAGTTGAAGTAAACGTGTATGGAAATAATTTAAATATTTGACACTAAGTATTTGTAACTATTTTTAATGTTTGCGTATAAATTCGTTAGTGACGTTTATAACATAATAGATAATTTAGAGGTAAAAGCTTTTGGATATTTTATATGTGGAAATGTTCATCCTTGGAAAGGGTATGTACTTTTTCGCGATCAGGTAATTTCATATATGTGCTTTTTATTGAGTTTAAAGATTAAGAAAATTTTCCAGCATTTCTCTGCAAATTTTTGTAATTTATGAGAAAATAGCAGTGTAGATGGATTAATTTAAGAGTGTGCGCAATGCCATTTTTGTGCAATTCTGGGATGTTTTTTTAAGTAAAAATAAGTCAACGTGTAAATGGTTTATGTGCATGTGCTATTTTGAAAAATGCGCAAGGAGTTTGCGATTCTGCACTTTTTCCCAATTTTGCAGTTAATATTTGTCATGATTAAGCAGTTTTGTTACATAAAATTTCTAGCATCAGTGTAATTCGGCTAGTAGATTGTTGGAAAAAGTGTTGAGTAAATAAAAAGAAAAGAACATGTCTTTACTTCGTGAAGACATAATGGCGGCGAAAAAAAAAATAGAGGGTTGCTGTAGCAGAGTTGGTTGCCAAATTTTCGCCAAGTTACCATAATCCAAAGATCAACCAAATCCAATTCTTTTTACTCTTGTAAAAAGTGCCAAACAAATAAGTGCATTTGTTAAGTAGTATTTGTTTTTATACTGTATGCAAAGAAAATATAAAATGAGCATTTAGCAAACTAATCTTACTCGAACTGCATGATGACACTGTACTGCTCATGCTAAATTTTGACTTTTAAAGAATTGCAAATTTTTCATACCAGTGAATATTGCTAAATTTTTTAATAAATGCTCTGGCCATATTTTAAAATAAAAAAATAGCATATCATCTATCTACCTGTGAGTATCCATACACATGGATGGTTTTATCAACTGGATTATGCTTTATACGGCCTCCTCCCACGCATTCACATTCTAGACCAAGTTTCTCAATATCTGGTGTTGTAACTTCATATATGTCACCTAGTATGAAGAAAATAATTATTAAACCTACATTAATCAGACGTAAGGGATGGGGAAAGTTTATACACAAAACAAAGGTGAATAAAAGCATTTTAGGGGAGCAGATAATTAATGAAATCCCACAATTAAGTTAAAAGGCACATTACTACTAATTATTATTTTGATGTTTAATTACTAAGTTCATGATTAGCTACGTCAGAATTAAAACAAAACCATAATATTTACAAAGTAAAAGATTGTGATAATATAAATATTTTAAATTAGTTCTACATCGAATATTCCAGACTAAAATAGCAACATAATTCCAAAATTATAAGGTACGCAAACACAGCAGCCAATTATAAGTTCTAGATTAGAATAGTAACATAATTCCAAAATTATAATATACACAACCACAGTAGCCAATCAACGAGATCTAAGAATGTATCAGCTGTACGTAAAAAAAAAAAAAAAAAAGTGCTCCAGACAAATGTATTTACCATGATATTCAGCAGTACTCATACCCCTTACAATGTATTTAAACGTTTTTTCTTCATTATCCGGGTCATAAACTTTAACAAGAATATATTTGAATGTCCCATCGTCAATCTTGACCGACTCAACCGAATTTAATTTTTCTTCCATTGTAATTAAACTTTTCGATTTAAGAAAATGAAATATAAGCTTTATTCAAAAGTATTTTGAAATTTAAATGCGAAAATTCCTTAAACAAAAATATTTCGAGTTAAATGCCGACAAATATGCATTGAAAAGACACGCTTCGAATTTCGACTGTACGTTGCCATACGAGCTTTAAAAACAAAAGAAGGCAAATAATTATCTGGGGGGGGAAATGCCTAGTTTATCGATTTCACCACCAGATGACGCTAGTAAACCAAGCTTTGCTAGCAAAATGTAATGAAGAAATTACTTGTTCTCATTTGCTTATTTTTACTTAGACAAGCTTTTACAAATCGAATTTAGTGACAGAAAAGTTCCCTGTAGTGATAACTTATTTTGAAAGCTTGCTAACAATTTGTTTTTCCAGCTTGAAGCACACGAAAAATATAAAAATTTCACTCAAAAAGCTTAAAAAAACTTCTCTCGGTCAAGTTAACACAGATCGTATTTTATTCTCGAGTGTCAAGATGTAGAAACATCTTTTTACTCGACTTCTGATAAGGATCGGAAAGGAGGAGAAAGAGTAAGGTGGAAGGAAGTGTGGGAGGCGGAAAAAAGAGAGTGAGGTCCGCACTAGCGGCGGCGAAAAAAAGGCGGGTGGCAAGTCCAGTGTCGTTATAAGATGTAGCCGGGGGCCGGTAACCACAGAGTCAGTTTAGCGTGAATGAGTCAATTAAGGTTGTAATTCTTATGTGGGTAGGATGTCACACGGGTACCGATGTTTTTCTCTGCGATGCGAGGAGTTTCTGAGAGTGCTAATGAGGCTATTACTGTGGGTTTGTACTGAATAAAAGAAGTTGACCACTAATCGTTTAATATACTCTTGAATAAGTTCGATTCGAAGGTCTCTGGGAATATAGATGTTTGGAATATACCAAGGAGCATTAATAATTTCTCGTAGAATTTTATTTTGTAGAATTTGTAATTGTTTAATATTGGTTTTAGCTGCATGTCCCCAGATCGGTACTGCATGAAGGAGGGCTGGGCGAAGTATGGAGCGATATAGAATTAATTTGTTTGTAAAAGATAAGTTGCTTTTTCTACCAAGAAGAGGTCGTATAGTAGCTGTGGTGATTTTAAATTTTTGTACTACGGACCGGAAGTGGGTTCTGAAGGTAAGTTTTTGGTCAAGGGTGACTCCAAGGTATTTGGTTTCATTAATCCAGTCTATTTCTTCGTCAAATATTTCAGGGGATGGAGGATAGCATTTCATGTTTCCTTTACGCAAAATTATTGCTTTAGTTTTATCAGTGTTAATTTAAATCCTCCAAAGGATGAGCCATTTTTCCAGTTTTATGAGATAGTTTTGGACTTGGTTTCTTACGGCGATAACTGTGCATGCTCTAGTAAGTATGGCGGTGTCATCGGCAAAGAGTGCAAGATGAACAGAAGGTCTTTAGGGATGTCTTGTGTATAAATATTAAAAAGGTACGGTGAAAGTGCCGACCCCTGTAGGACACCAGCATTTATTACTCTGGTGGTAGAGTAAGCAGTACCGATTTTGATTCTGAATGTTCTGTTGCTGAGAAAAGAGGCTATTAAGCGAATAAAATGATCTGGAAAATTGAGAGTGATTAGTTTGTAAACAAGGCCTCGATGCCATACCCTGTCAAAAGCTTTCGCGATATCGAGGAATATAGCACCGGTCGGAAGCTTGCAGTTGTAGCCTTCAGTGATAATGTTGATAACTCTAAGAAGTTGGTGGCAAGTGCTATGATGATTGCGAATTGTTCTTCTGGGAAAAAATTCATGGAAGGGTGAATTTTTTGGATGTGGAAAAATAGGATTTTCTCGGTAACTTTAGACAGATGGCTAAGTAAAGTGACAGGGAGTGTTGGAAGTTGGACTGTGGGAAGGTTGGATTTTGTTGCAGTTTAGCAAAAACAATTATTATAGCTTGCTTCCATGAGTTAGGAAAATGAGCGAATTTGATAATGTTGTTGATTATCTTAGTTAGGCAGGTAAGAGCGTTGATAGGAAGATGCTTCAATGCTTTGGTCGAGATGCCATCGTGCCCTGAGGCTTTCTTCGTTTGTAAGGCGCTGATGGTGTTGGCAACGATTGTTGGGGTAGTCAGGAAAGTGAAGTTATTGGCCACCTGGTTGACCCGTTCAATATGGTTATTGTCGTACGGAGTGGGATTAAGAGTGATTAAGAGTGAATGTATCTTCCATATAGTCCGCAAAAGATTTAGCTTTATCTTCTTCTGTATATGAAATTCCACTAGGTCCATGGATAGCTGGAATAGGTTTATAAGGTTTTTTGAATTTGCGGGAAATGTCAAATAGGAAATTGTCCTCTATAGCTAGGTTATTTAGGAAATTGGTCCATTTTTGGTTTTTGAAGTTCTTGATTCTTCTGTTGATTTCTTTTTGCATAGATATTAGTTCGTGTTTGAGTTGTGGATCCCTGGTGGTTTTCCACCTTTTATGGATCCAGTTTTTCTCTTTAATACTATTTCTTATATCGGAAAGAAGGGAAAGGAAAGGCTTATTCACATAAAAAGTATTGGTGGCTTCCTTTAAAGCAGGATTGATGCAGTTGGTAAATTTTGAGACTTCGTGTTCTAAATCTTCTTTGTTGTTGATGCATGGGTTACTTTGTATGGAGTTATTCAGAATTTCAGAGTATTTGATCCAATTTGTAACTCCTATACTTCTGTCAAGTGAGGGGAGGTATTTATTAATGGGGATTTCAAATACAATGGGGTTGTGGTCGGAAGACAGGGCAGAAATTACAGAGATATTGCAACTGTTAGTAATGTTGTTTGAGATGAAGAAGTCAATTGTGGTGGCGCTATTGTACCCGTAATGGGTGGGCTCGTCTGGAGCATGAATGTTATAATTATTTGATTGAATGAGTTTAAATATGTCATTTCCTTTTTTGTTAGCAGGTCCTCGGTTCCAGCAGGGGTGTTTGGAGTTGAAGTCCCCTCCGATAATGGTAGAAGTATTAGAATTGAGAAGGTGAATCAATTCTTGTACGCTGGGATTATTATTTGGTGGGATTTATATATTAGAAATTTTGAATTTTTTATGTTCTATTACAATTTCTATTGTGTTACTTTCGAAAGTGGTGCTGGGATTAGGAATTTGAGAGTGTTTCATGCTGATTTTAACAAATGTGATGATACCACCACTTCTTCCTGTCTCACGATCTGTACGGTAGGCTATCAAGTTAACAAAACTGGTCTCTTACTCAAAATTCAGACTAAATAGTCACGTTGGAAGTATTATGTTTTTAAGCTTTGAAATAAATCTTTTTGGATTCAGGAGATCTCATACACAATAATAAATTGACATTGCGGTAGCGAATAAATATGGCCACTTTGAGTATTTGTGGGACAGTGCAATCATATCTTTACTGGCCTATGTGATTCAGAAGTTCAAAAATTTGACACTTCTAGATAAGACATGCGAAAACTCAAGATTAGTGCTATTTATATATAGGTCCTTTTCCTCTGAAGTGAGCAGATAGCTGTAACTGCATTTAAGAGATATGTAGTTAAAATAATCCATTTTAAAAGATTCCTTCATCAGCAGAAGGACGCGCAAAAGGCAAATTAAAATTATTCATTCCAAAAAGTATCCAGTTCTTTGAAACAGCTATATTCTTTCTGTATTTAGCTCTCATGACTATGTCTAACTGGAGGCAGTTATTATAGCAATAGACCTTGTACATTTCAAGAATAATGAGGCAGGGGAAAGTTTTATTGCTATTTTGTGCTTAGTGCAGGAATGGGCCAAATCCGGCTCACCGGAAAGTTCTATCCGGTCCGCGGATAAATTTTAACCTTTTCCCGTGGGCTCGAAAAACAGTTGTGTACATTCACTGGGGGGTCTTGGCTCAGCGCTTATGGAAAAGGAGGAAAATTATCGAATCGAGTACTTAACGACTGGGTGATTAGTGCTCTTTTGTCGGCAGGCAGGCAAACGCTCGGGATTTCCTTTCAATCTAGTTCCAACGCTCAAGGCGTTAGAATGCGGTATGTACTCTAATCGCTTTCACACTGCAGGTAGATAGGTGAATACAGTTTTCCCAAGGGAAAAAAAAAGTATTATTTTACCTTCAAATGAAATGCATGCTATAACTAGAAATTTTGTTCTAAAGAGTGTTCCATTTTACGATTAAAATAGTTTTTTAAACTTGCACCTATATTATGTACTAAAAAGCTAGCGAAGTAATCAGTGTTAAATATATTCACTTGTTATCGTATCGAAAATTCAGTGATTTAATATAGTCAAATATTTCCTTCAAAGAATATATGCATTTTCATTTTTAATAATATTATTATTCTGATGTTGAAGAGCAAATTAAATAGAGTTTATTTATTACAAGTGCCATTTAAGAAGCATTTTCGGATTCCAAAATGAGTGTTATACTTTTACACCTCTGGTAATATTCATTCCTGGAGAAATAGAATTTGCTCACTGCATTTATACTGTACTAAATTATTATTGAACAACGCCAGCACTAAGAAAAATTTACAATGCACGAGCCAAGAATTTTTTTTATTATTTTTTTCCCATGTGGCATTGAAAATAGCGGTCCCAGAGTTGATCTGCCTTTACATCAGGGATATAAGATGTTTAATTTATTTAATCGCTTCATAGTTTTTGGTTCAAGAAAGAAATGCAGATGCAAACCCTGGAGCTTTAGAAAATAAAATCTTTATTGAGTTTTAATGTATTCAAAAATTTAGTTTTATCACTTAGAGATATAAAATACTACTTTTACCTTAGAATAGAAAGGGAACAGTTGTTCGATTATTTATATTGCTACTCCATTTTTTCTTTAAATGCAAAATTGCATATACAGGAACGCATTGAAATTTCAAAATGTAAACATCTTTGTCGAATGGCGAAATATTTCTTCAGTTTTTTATGATCTACATTTTCAGAATGCTAAAATCGCCTTTGAGGTATTAAACTGTTATGCGAAATTTTCAGATCTCAAGCTATTTACTGTTGCTTTCTATGGAAGTAATGAAGCTGGGAATGAAGATTCGTACTGAGTAAATGAATATTAATGAAAATTTGCACTGAGGATTAAATTCAGGGAGCTAAAAGTAGTACACATCTGAATTCCTGTATACATGCTTAGTATTCCAATATCTTGTTTGATTCCCTCCAAA